TCTCATCTTTAATATGTTGAAGACCGCGCATCTTTTTACGTTTGGCGGCCGCGTGGGACTTCAGTGAAATTTTTAAAAATCTTTCAAGCAAACTGGAGGAAGAAACCTAGTAAATGATTCAGAAGAAATCTCATTGAATGGAATGAAAAGGAAGTCCATGAAAGAACTTACCCTAATTTTCAAAACATGAGCTGTAAGGTCGCACATGGTCGGCGGACTGCAGCCCACATGTGGGCTTCATGGGCTCCAAAGAGGAAGTCACGGAATTATTGAGGGGGTAATGACGATCAAAAAATATCAAATGGAAGTAACTCTTGAAGCGATCTCGTAATGGCACCATGAAACCTCAGATTTTGCTAAACATTAACTTTACATTCATATTCAGCTGGACACTTTCGACTTCACAGCTGAATATCCTGATTTCACGGTGAAGAACAAGCGCCGAGATATTCAACGTGCAATACTATCACTTTGTTCTAATCGTGAGTTATGGACCCCGATTTTGGAAATACTGAACAAAAATATGTAATAAGACCGACAACATTTCACTTACTGTGGCTCCATCTTTTCTTTTGTGGATGAAATTGCCACCGTATCACATCCGTCGCCTTATTCTTCCATAATAATCTGTGTGTACGACTCCTGTTATTGTTGTGTGTGTCGTTGCGCACAGTTGTTGTTGTTGTGAATAGGTGATGTAAAAAAATTTAAGGAATCATCTCAGTTAGAATTGCTGATATTTTTCAATTCGAAAGTGATTTTGTTGGTTTGCTTGTTACGGCTACACCTATCTTTCTTGTTTCATCACTGCTCAACCAAACCCTACTGTCGCAGTTTTGACGAACGCTTGTTCCATTGTTCTGCGCGTTTATGCTTTATGAAGAAGGTCGAAAATTCAAATTGTTATTATCTGTTGCACCATCACACGTTGTTACCTTGTTAGGAGAGATATTCAGGAACACTGGTATTTACTGTTCATACTTTTGAGAATTTGACTGTTATCAGTTATTAAGAGAGTACCAGAGTTCCAAATTATGTTCCCGGATGGTATATTATACTGGTTGTTAGAGTTCTATGTTAGATTATCAATAATTTGGTGTTGCCGTTATGTTTGTGCCGAGGTATGCGCGTCTTTGTTGTGGTTTCCTCATTATTTTGCTGTTACAACTTCATAGGTGTTGATGCCAATTATAGGGAACCCAGCATTGCAAGCTTCCACATTTTGTTTCGCCTGCGTCTTTAAGCCTGGGTACATTTACTTGATTTTCGGATTGTTTGGGTTGGTAATTTTCCTTATCGCCTCGATGGAGTGTTGTTTTGTATCCTCTTGTGCGTTGATAGAGTCGGTTATCGTTATGTTTTCCTGAAAGTTTGTTCATTTTTTCATCTGGCATAAGCTCTATCTTGGAATGACCTCACCCATTCTTTCCGCATTTCATGGCTGCCATTTGTTGAAATCCCATTGTGTTGAAAGCGATGATGGAACGTTGAAGCGCCTGCTATAACAGGTTGCTTGTTAAATAAATTGTTATCCTATGTTCAGTTATGCTATTTATACTCCCTTTCAAAAACGAGAAGAGCGTCGGGTGCAGACCATACACCACAAGTGACGACGGCCTCCACAAAATGTAAATGTTTTCTGCCAATGAAATGAGCCTGTTGCAGTTGTATTCTATCAGTTGTCACTAATTACAACTATCATTTACCAAAAATCAGCTATCACTATGAACCACTACTAACCAGATTTACTTGAAGCCCGTCGTCGCTTGTGGTGTGCTTCAAGGCAGGGTCATGGGCAAAATCTTAGGGCTTTAACTACCCTGGACACTACCGGATTGAACATTCAGCTGTTTAACACGTTGACGACAGCGTGACGCGGTAACGCGTCCCACTTTGCGCACCTCGTGGGACATTGTGACGCGGTAACGCGTCCCACCCAAGTCATCCCTTTTTCTTGCGCTTGCGCGACTTATTCCTAAGGTTGTACTCATTCTATAGGTCATACATTAGCATACTTAAAAACCACATGGCTCACAGAAAGGCCAAATATTCTTTAGTTTGGCAGAGGTTTTCCAGACCGTATGGATATGTCTGTTCGAT